AAGCGATTTCCGGATCAATCATAATCAAAATAATTCCCACCCATATTCAACCACAGCTATTACAACCTCGCTACAAATCCCCCCCCCGGAAAATTGCAGATGATTCGTCTTCTAGATTAGTTTTTCTTCTTACTCACACTTTTTCTGGAAAAGATAATGATAAGAAATTAGTATTAAAAAAAAAAAAAAAAAAAAAAAAAAAAAAAAAAAAAAAAAATATATATATATATATATATATATATATATATATATATATATATATATATATATATATATATATTATTAAAGGTAATTTTCTTTTCGTTCTTAGTTCTCTCTCGTTCTCTCTTTTATCTGATTACACCATTCTTATCCATCATATATCTCTTGTCCTCTTATTTCTTATTACGATTACACAATATCTCTTTCATCCTTATATATTTGCCATTTCAATTAGCAAGTTGTCTCTCTTTCTCTCTTTTATCTGATTACCATTATTATCCATCATATCTCTATCCCACTTTTTTTTATGAGGATTACACAATATCTCATCCTTATTTGTCATTTCTATAAAACACTATAATCATATATTTCCTAATATAACACACATGATCCGCTAATTACTTAATTAATTGTTAACGAGGAAGAGAGCCCTTCAAAATGATCATACGCGTCAGCTTATTAGACAACATGACGTTAATGTAATGACATCATATGCTGTAATATGATTCCCTACCTCGTCAAAGTCCCACGGCTTGGGAAGCTCGTACTCATATGCTGAAACGAGAAAATAATTTTGGTTATGATATAATTTCTTACCATGGTATATACTTGTGTAGATGGATTAAGTTAATTGCGCAGCATACCTCTTACATGTAAATTCACGTTAAGAAAATCTAGTTCCGTAATTGCGAAAGTACTTTGACAAACTGAAGCTGAAAAGGCATACGATACTCCATCAAAACACTCATTTACATATTTCTGGATCTAATTTTATCTTCAAAGGAAACACGGACGATTAAAGGGAATCAAAATAATTTGATTTATTCTTCCGTGTTGGATAAATCAATCTCTTTAATCACTACCGTAAAGTGTAATTAATCATGATAATTTCTCAATTCATTCCACCAAAATTAATCGAAACTAATTTGGAACTAAATTGCGTTTGGTTTCGCACAGTTGTCCTTTCACTCAAGTAAAACATAGACCGGTTGTTAATTTAATTCAAAATGAAATTACTGTCATACCCCAATCAACCGCAACTGATAATGATTTAAGTTTTCATTCAAATCAAATTGATTTCTATTAATATTCAACCGTACATAATATCTAATTTAAATATACAATCCAAATTCCTTTCCCAAACCCAATTAACCAGATCAGAAAGTGATTTCCGGATCAATCATAATCAAAATAATTCCCCACCCATATTCAACCACAGCTATTCCAACCTCCTACAACCCCCCCCCCCACCCACCCAACTATCCTCACGTTTTTTTTATTTTCATCTCAATCCCAAACCCAGTGAGATGACCAACGCCTCACCCCAGTTCTCCGTGCAGTCTCCGAAGTCTAGGGCTTTCCTGTCGGGGGCGACCGACGTGGCACACCAGAGGTTGAACGAATCCTCTGCAGTGCAACCGTAGTACAGCTTGTCCTGGTATTTGAAGGGGAAGATGCATGCCTTGCCCTGTAGGGTGATCGTTGCACCTGCAAGGATTGGGAGATTGGATTTAGGACTTTTGCTTACGGATTTTATTATTATTATTATTATTATTTGGATAAGAAGGAATGATTTTCATTTAGGCGTTTGGAGTGTGGTAATCAATTGTTTTCAAGCTAGATCAATAATTTTGGTACTGGGAATGCAATAATTAATTTTATCATTAGTGTAGGAGCGAGATAGAAAAAAATAACAATATAGATTTTTAAAATGGAATAGCCTATAATATCTAACCATTTGGAGAGCAAAAATAATTTCTACTCTGGAGTTGGAATTAAAACATTATTTTCAATTAAGAATTGAAAGCAGAAGGATATATATAAATTTCTTTTATTCCGAATCTATAAAATGATAACTTTTATTTGGAATTCAAAACACGAATAACTATTTTTACCAATATGCTTACATAAATATAATTTTCAGGTAGGAAAGGTACAAACTGGTATAGGATATACTTAACTTTTTTTAATTTTTGGTTGTGTCTAAGAATAATGCAAACTGGATTCATTTAGCGAAGCTCAAAAGAATAAAGATACCCCATGTAAAGCTTTCTTTGTCGTTGCAACATAGACACTAATACATGAATTCGCTTGAGAGATTTTGTTAGAATACCTTTTTATTTCATATTTATTTATCTATTTCTCTATCTATTTATTATCAACAGAAAAATCCTCAGATACATCACTATCTCTCCCAAAAGTCTTGCTTGTAAGAATTTACGCACACACAATTATTTCATTCATCGTCTCTATTATTACAAAAATGAACAAATATATATCAAAGAAACTAGATCTTAATAACACACACACACACACACACACACACACACACACACACACACACACACACACACACACAACACACACACACACACACACACACACACACACACACACACACACACACACTTATCTCCATCGACCTTCTCCAGACTTACTCAAATGTGGCGTGCAGTCCTTAGATTTTAACAGCTTCCCTTCGCCGTCAACCTCCGAGGCACAATACGGGTGTTTTCCTTCCTCATAGACGCAAGTGTGGTACGTCTTGCTGCCATGAATAAAGGGAAGCTTGCAATTGCTCCCATCTAGTGTTTTGATTATCTTCCTGAATCCATCTTCTATAAGTAAGGAGAGGTGTATATGATATAAGAATATATAAGAAGGATATCAATAATGAATAAAAATATAAATGTTTTTTATTCATATGATTTTTCTTTTCTTTATTCATCTTAGTGTTGGTTATTGGTATTCGTTTATTCGGACATTTATATATTTGCCTTTTTCCAGTATTTTGACGGCATTGCATGAAGAATAAAACATTTCCCAAAAATTGTATATTCATTTTTCGTGGGTATCGGTTTCTATTACTTCGTGGAATGCAATTATAGGAATGCAATATTTCAAAATGCTTTCAACAAAACAAAAACGATTACACAGACAACAGGCAACTTACTATCGAAAGGAGCGAAAAGAGAATCAGCTGGAGAGTGTTCATCTGTGGGGGAAAAGAGGTTTGAAAAATATTCCTGTGTCCGAGCGTGAGTGTGTGTGTGTGTGCTTGTGTTGTGTGTGTGTGTGTGTGTGTGTGTGGTGTGTGGTGTGTGTGTGTGTTGTGTGTGTGGTGTGTGTGTGTGTGTGTGTGAGTGTGAATGTTTCTGTGGTGTGCGGATGTGTGTTGTCTGTGTGTTTTGTATGGTGTGTGTATGTGCGTGTGTGTGTGTGTGGTGTGTGTGTGAGTGTGTGTCTGTGTGTATGTGTCTATGAGTGTTTGTGTGTGTATGGGTGTGCGTGTTGTGTGTGTTGTATATTTGTGTATGTGTGTGTGGTGTCATGTGTGTATATAAAGTGATTGCATGTATGTGTGTATATGCATATCTTTAGTGGCATATATTTTCCTTATATAATATTAGACTGGTATCGTTCGCATATTATTTCTCTGTTTCTAATTCTGCTACATTTTTTTCTGTCCATCTTTACTACCTTCTTTTTTATCACTTTCCATGCACCTCCCCCTAAGAGAGAGAGAAAGAGAGAGAGAGAGAGAGAGAGAGAGAGAGAGAGAGAGAGAGAGAGAGAGAGAGAGAGAGAGAGAGAGAGAGAGAGAGAGAGAGAGAGAGAGAGAGAGGAAAGAGAGAGAAGAGAGAGAGAGAGAGAGAGAGAGAGAGAGAGAGAGAGAGAGAGAGAGAGAGAGAGAGAGAGAGAGAGAGAGAGAGAGAGAGAGAGAGAGAGAGAGAGAGAGAGAGAGAGAGAGAGAGAGAGAGAGAGAGAGAGAGAGAGACCGGAGCAGAGCGAGAAAGAGAGAGAGAGAGAGAGACAGAGAGAAGAGAAGAAAATGAAGAGCCATAAAGAGAGTGAGGTTGGGAGAGAGAAAGAAAAAAAAAAAAAGAACCTACTCTTCACAGACAAACAGAAGTCCTGTGTAAGAATGTTTTTCCTGGCGTCGGTCGAGGTTGCGCAGAAGGTCCGTAGATTCTGCTTTGCGCAAGTGTAATGCAGTCTCCCCTCATGTCTGAACGGAAACACACACACCTGGCCACTCTCAGTCACCGTCACTTTCTTGTAACCTGTGGAGATTTTGAATGATTACAGTCGATTTTCTTTCTTTTTATGTAAATATTTGATATATTTTTTTAGTAGGAGAGTAGAAGTTTTTAAATCGGTAATTGATTTTGATTTTTTGTTGAAATATTGAGCGTTATTCTGGTCGGAAAATATCAGAGTGTAGAGTAAAGTGCGAGTGAATTTAATTCCTAAATTAAGCATCGATCATGCAAATAATGATGAAAAACATCATCACCAACAACAACAAATCGAACATTAACATTTACGCTTCGAATGAAACATTTAGAAAACCCAACCAAACTGAACTTGCAGAAACCAACCGAAATCCAACAGACAGATTCCCGTCGAAGAGATCTTGTGTTCGGAGGTCGTCTTCGTCGCACACCAAGGCAGGTCGTCCTCAGAGTCGCGGACGCATTCGTAGCGGAGACGACCTTGGAACTCGAATGGGAAAACGCACAGGTGGCCCGTGGTTGTTATAACGGGGTTGTCGTCTTTACCTGTGGAGGGAGAGGAGGAGGGAGAGAAGGGGCAGTGGAAGAGGAGGAGCGTTGGTGGTAGGAAGGGAAGAGGGAGGAAGGAAGGGTTGGATGGATAGAGGGAGGTGTGATGAATATTGGGAGGAGAAAAGGAAAAGAAGGAAGAGGATGTAGTGAGAGCGGAGGAGAGAAGAAACGAGAGAGAGAGAAGAGAGAAAGAGAGAGAAGAGAGAGAGAGAGAGAGAGAGAGAGAGAGAG